AATTTAATGGCCGTCCTAACTGGGATGAACCGTTCTACCGTCATGCAGAAATGTTCACCCTACAAACTGGAAGCATTGGAAAATTGTGATTTTATTTGGAAAACATTTCGTGATCATGGCTATGTGACGGCCTATGCGGAAGATGAGGCCAGCATTAATACTTTTAATTACTTAAAAGTGGGTTTTACACAACCCCCTGTGGACTATTATTTAAGACCATTTCTTTTGGGAGCCGAAAAACATTTGGAGACGAAATTAAAATCAAGTTTAATCGATTGTTTGGGCTATAAACATTCAGCTGATTTTGTTTTTGACTATGCAGTAGAATTGGCCAAAAGATATAAGAATGAATCCTATTTTGGCCTATTTTGGGCCAATACATTTAGTCACAATGACATTAGTGACTGTTCGGCCATGGATGAACATATAATGAATTATTTAAAGAAATTTAAACAAATGGGCACATTGGAGGATACTATAGTGGTGTTTTTTAGTGATCATGGCATGCGTTTTGGTCCGATACGGAAAACTCATTCGGGTCATTTGGAAGAAAGATTGCCGTTTGTATTTTTATGGTTGCCACCAAATCTTAAGCAAAATTATCCCAGTTTTGTGAATGCTTTAAATGTTAATAAGAATCGTTTGACCAATCCCTATGATACACACATGACACTTAAACATATTTTGAGATTAACGGGACGAGTACAAAATGAAACGGTTTTAAGTAAATCAGATGCTTGCCCTAAATGTCAATCTTTATTGGAGCCCGTGCCACAAAATCGTTCATGCCTAGATGTTGCCATAGAGGCACATTGGTGCACTTGTTTGCTGTATGAAAGTATTTATAAAAATTCCAAGACTGTGGTCAATTTAACACATTTGCTTATTGATTATATTAATGATTATGTGGCCAATTTTCATAATGGTACACTAGCCAAGATGTGTGTTCCCTTGGCGTATGATAGTGTGGAAAGTGCTTATAGAAGTACTCAGCTGCAATTAAGTGATGACGGCAAAACTACTAGCACCATTAATATTTATCGCGTGACTTTTTATACCAAACCCAATAAGGGTCTTTTTGAGGCCACCGCTATTTATGATCCTGTAGAGAATTATCTTAAAGTTACGGGTGAGATTAGCCGCCTTAATAAATACAGTGCAGATTCGGATTGTGTTTCAGATGGTGGCGCTAAAAAGTATTGTTCTTGTCATAAGAAAATTTTCTAGCATAAATCATCGGTCGTACATAAAGTAGTTGTGAAATTAGCTAATACCTCATTTAGACTCAGCTCGAATAAAGATCGTTTGAAGGGGTTCCGTTTTAAAACTATAGCCAGAACTTAGTAAGCCATATGTTATACTTTTAAGAGGTACAGGCTATGTTGCAATTATGGAATCCATAATTTCGCTCATTTAAACATGTTCTCGGGTTTGTTGGACCACAATAATTTACAAAAAAATGAATCTCAGATATTTTGCCGAAAAACTTAAAAAGCTTTTCTAAGCTCTTTTGTTTAAACAATATAAAAAAGCTTTTTTATAAAAATGTTAAAAAAAGCTTTTTTTACTAAATTTTTTCTTTTTCGAAATTTTTTCCTACATTTCAGCCATATTGGAAGAAAATAAATTGAAATAGTTTTATATGAGAAGTTTGAATTTCCGTCAGTAAGATTCCCTAACATTTCAAAACATGCTGGAGGTCATGTCATCTATTCGCATAATTTTCTCTCTACTGTACTTGTATATTTGTAAAAAAAATAGTTCAAATAAATTAGTTTATTTTAATAATAACAATAATAATAATATATAAAATATTTTAATTTTTCGCTTATAAATATTGATATAATACTCAAATAGCTTTATTTTCGTATTCTTAATTAAGACAAAAAAAAAAAAAAATATGATAATAAAATGTTAAATTTTTGTAATAAAAAAAAATAGACCGAGTTTAAATTCAAATATTGAATATAAGTTTTCTTTAAAGTTTGCATCTAGGTTTTGGTTCGTAATAACATGGATTAATTTCTAAACAAAATTTTCTTTAATATGGACATCGGATATGTATTCGGCTGAGGACGACAGTCATTTTATTCTTGAAAGCATATGCCACAGAATTGTTGAAGATTTCAGTCCCGATGATATCTGAGGTCTTCAAAAAATTGATTTCAACAAACATACGGACGGACGGACAGACAGACGGACATAGCCAAATCGACTCTGCTATCTATAAGGACTCGGAATATAAATAATTTATAGGGGCGGAAAATTGTACTATGGAAATTACAAACGGAATGACCTTCTCACGAAGGTGAAGGGTACAAAAATAATTAAAAGGGGCCATTTTGAATTCAGTCCAGCTCATGAACGGCCACCATCAATAGTCTTAAAATTTTATACATTTAGTTATTAATTACTAAATGTTACAAAATGTTTGCTGCTTTATTAAGAACAATAATGAATTGCATTTTAAATTTGTTTTGTATTTATACAGGCACATTAATTCACTCATTTTACACACTAACACTCCGTTAAAATTGGTTTAAATGTTTACATTTAAGTATAAAGTAAGTTAAATAATTTCAAATCCATAAAACTCCATAAAATTATAATTAAAACTAATTAGAAACAAATGAAAAATTTTGTTTACCTTTTTATAAATTATCAGCAATAGCTTCTTCCGTAGATGGCGTGGTCTGTAGAGATTCTTCCACTTTTTTAGCAGTTACAGTATCATCATCATCAGCATTTTGTATTGGTTGTGTTATATTTTCAGTAATAGTTTTAGCACTTACAATACCACTGATATTTAAAGTCTCTTTAAAATTGCAACTTTGTAAAGTATTTTTGAAAACATTGAAAAATTTGCGCAAAGGACTTTTCTTATTAAGACTGGCTATGGGGGTACCTTCTGGTAAATGTAGTTCTAAATCCATGCCCATATAATTTGGTAAAGTATTCAGTTTTAAAATACCATTTAGGGTAACCGAAAATTTAGGATCTTGTCTTCGAAGATTATGCAAACGTTCAGTTTGCTCCAAGTGATAGTTCATAAATGAAGTTTGTCCGGCTTTTTGAAAACAGCGATTACTCCATAAATCAATGGAACAGGAAATAAGCCAAACTTGATTAAGTTCTTTGTCTTTAACTTCTTGATCGAGTTTTTGTTGTTTTTGTTGAGAGGGTAGTTCTTTTTGAGATATGTCCATGCGATATATTTTGGTCATAATGATTTCAATAGCCTCTACATAATGTTGACACCAACAGCGCAAAAGTGACTCACCGGCCGGCTGATCTGGATAATGGGCAGCTAGAGTACGTATATCAGCTTTAGAGGGTATGATGGTGTGTATTAATTTGCCTTCACTATTATTTGCATCTGCTGTCTTTGTTTCCGTTATGGGTAATGTTAAATTTTTCAAATCTTTCATTAACTCAGTTTTGGTGTTTTCATTTGTTACTTTCACTGGATTGTCATTAACTTTGATGGTCTCAAATAAAAGCTGTTCATACACTTCAGCCAGTTTAAGATTATTAGGATTTTCACATATTTTGTGGGCATTCCGTAGACATAATTGTATATATTGCTTACTATGAGGTAGTATATTTTTGGCGGTATTTTGATTGAGACAAAAGGCATCCTGTACACACATACAACGATCGATTTGCAAATCATTGGCCTGTTCGCCCTGCAAATATTGGCTAATGGTTCTCAATTGTTTATAATATTCTTCACATATATCTGGTGTTAAATTAGTTTTTTCTATAGATTTGCCGTAAAAGGGTGAAATTACGTGATCTTCGAAGTTAAATTCCTTATAAAAGTTAAAGAATTCTTTTATAAGTTGCCAAGTGGTAACAGCGGTGGGTATTGTGGGTTTATTTTCTTTGTCTCTTAAATTATAGGCATAATTTATGCCCTGCACCATATGAAATTGACAATTCTCTTGCAGCTCTTTAATAGGTTTTAAAATACGTTTATCTTTCTTTACATTAATTGCTTGGTTTTCCTTTAACCAAGGTTGTTGTAAAAAGAATATTACCAGTGTTATTAGACAATAACTGGTCATTGTGTCTCTTCCCACGATTTGTGCATTTTTGGCCCATAATTTAAGAAACAACATTAACTCGTGTATTCTGTCATCGCTTTTAACTAATTCGTAAATGAACTGTGTATTCTCTCGACTACTGGGACACGAAACATTTATATCGATACTAAAGCCAGTGTCTTTATGTTTACACTTTATTATGGGTACCCGGGCTCTACGTATGGCAAATACATCGGTGAAATGTGGACTGCGGTGTAGAAGATTGTTAATGCGATTGAAGGCTAAACGCTGTTGCGAATCGTGATCTTCTTTTTCTTTATAATATTTGTGTCTGGGCGAGACATGCATTTGCGAGGCATCCAAATATATATCAATATCGCAGTCTTATGGTGGGAGGGGGCAAAATGAAAATAGAGTGAAAGATAGAAAGAGGAAAGATTTAGAAAATAGTTAGAAAAAGTTGGAGGGAATAAACAGTTGTTTGAAAATGCCCTACAAAATGCCTTACCTCTCAATGCCAAACCACTTGCTATCGAACCGAATGGATAAATTCTCACAATACCAGCCGATCTCAACTCCTTTTCCATACAAGTCTGTATACGCGTGAATATTAAACCCAAACTATCGGTTTTCATGCAAAACAACTCAAAAATCGTGTGCAATTCTTCACCATTTTTGCACTTTTTCAATTGTTCCCTTAACTGAACACGTTGCGATAATTTCTCCTCGGCATTTAAGCATTTTGCAGTAGCATTTAGTCTTTTTTGTATACGATTTTGAGGATGGTTTTTCTTGTGTAAACTATGTTTGATAAGTTCATGTTTCAGACATTCTTGTATATTGTTAAATGTTACACCACAAACACTACATTTCGAATTGATGGCATTAGCTTCCTTATCGTTGGCCATCGGTGTGAATTCTGTAAATTAAGGAAAAAACTAAGTTTGATTTTTTTAGAAATAACAAGTGATTAGAATTTTATTTAACAAAATTTTGTAGAGAAATATTAAAAATCCATTAGTTGGCCTGTGCGTCGATCAATAACTTTATCAAAATATATAGGAGGAATAGAACCATCCTCCAAACCACTACAGAGTACAACATTATTATCCGAACGATAGAGTTTAAGTTGTTGGGAGTCCAAAACACGTTTTACATTTAAATAGATCAACACTTGACAATCACTACGAAAACCACTAATATTATTAGCTCTAGCATCTGAGGTGGCAAAATGCACATGATTGCGTGACATTCTCTTCAAACCTTCACGCTTTATATCCGGCCAATGTCTTAGGTAGGTACCGTGAACCGCTAAAGGCACTTCTTCCGCTTTTAGAATCTCTTTAAGACACTTATCATCCTTAACCTCTTTTAAAGTGTGACCCTGATTGGCACGTATCTCATAAACTCCACTGTCCTCATTAAACCGTAAGCAGTAACGCCGCTTCTCATCATTATCCACCAACTTTTGAAGCACTTCCAATGTATAGCAATTTCTATAATTCGGATGCTGTAGTATATCATTAACTTTAATAAATCCATTGGCTTGTATGTTTAGACCTTCTTTAATGGCACCATGCCTCAATAGCCATGAAAGTTTCTTACTTAATGTGGTCATGTTGTTGTTGGGTTTATGTTGTTTTTTATACATTTTCTTTAAAGAGTTTTATTTATTTTTTGTTTTTAACACTTACTTTTTATAATTAAACTGTTTATTTGTTATAAAATTTGATTTCTCTTATGAAAAAAACATATGCCAACTGAAAAATCTCAACAATTATTTTCACAAACATAAACTTTAGCTGCTTCTTGCTGCAAAACACACTCACTGTAAGATGTTAACACTGAGGGCAGGGTTTGGTAAACTGTACAGTTTTAGTACTTTTCAACGACGAACCGTTATATTCGAAAAATTATTCATTTATAAACGATTTTTAAGCAATAAACTAATAAAAATGGATATGTAGTAGAATAGTATTTAACAAAAAGTGTTATTCAAACGTTAATATAAACATTAATAAAACATAAATTATTATGGTTAGCAACAATAAAATCAGTCGTAATTTCATAAAAAAAGACTAAAAGGAGCATATTTTGTATTTAATTGAAAAGTAAGTTGTTGGGTAAGTACAAGTCCCTATTTTTGCAGTCCTATTTCAAAAGATAAAATTCGGTGTAAATTTTTTATCTAAATCCACCACTGAAAAATTGGAATTTTTACAAAATTTAACATTTAAAGAAACATCGCTATAAATTATTAAAAAAATGCATATTTACCAATTGTAATACCAAATAATATTATTAAAATCTCTCTTTTCTTTTATTGTTGAAAATAAGCAAAAGATAAGATATTCTTTTGTACTTTTAGTAGTATCGAATAGTAGCAACAGTAAAAAGAATCATGACACATTTTTTATGAATTTTCATTAACAAAATTAATTTTTTTAAAGCATATTCTATATAATTTTTTTTATTACATTAATAAACTTTAGCGTTAATTACAAATTGCATGTGAAATTGAAAGGAGAGAGTTGATAATTGATTAGAACTTTAACTAAAACACAATGACTCTCAGAACAATTTTCGTTAATATATTTTAGTTAGTTTTGATAATAGAGAAGTAACAAAAACAATGTAAATGTGGAAAATTGATTAGAATCGTATAGTTAGATGGTGGTAAATATTGAATTCTAAAGTTCCCTATACAAATTTTAATTCCCTGATTTGTTAGTTAAACAGGGTGTAAAGTGATTAAAGCTTTCAGTTAAGTTGACAGGACGAGGGCCAGGGGGAGGAAAAGCAGGAGGAAGGAGGGAAGAGGAGGCCGACAGCAAACGAACAAACAAACAAACAAAACGAACGAACGAACGAACGAACGAACGAACGAACGAAACGAACGAACGAACGAACGAAACGAACGAACGAACGAACGAACGAACGAACGAACGAACGAACGAACGAACGAACGAACGAAACGAACGAACGAACGAACGAAACGAACGAACGAAAGAACGAACGAAACGAACTAACGAACGAACGAACGAACGAACAACGAACGAACGAAAACGAACGAAAACGAACGAACGAACTAACGAACGAACGAACGAACTAAAAGAACGAAACTAACTAACGAACACGAACTAACAAAACGAACTAACGAACTAACGAACTAACGAACTAACTAAGAACTAACTAAAAACTAACAACGAACTAACGAACTAACTAACTAACTAACTAACGACTAACTAACGAACTAACTAACTAACTAACTAACTAACTAACTAACTAACTAACTAACTAACTAACTAACTAATTAACTAACTATAAAACCACAACTTTAGAACAAAATAACTCTCTATGTTACAAACAAAAAGTCTAAATATTTCTACCTCTCGTAATTTTAAAGGTGTTTATCAAAGTTATATGGTTTCTGTTCTGATAAGAAGGTTCCATAAATTATCAATGTATATATTTTTTGAAGCAATAATTTATCAATTGTATTTTCTATAATTTTACTCTCTGAACCAAAAACCAATTGCTAATGAGAAAGTAGTGCCAAAAAAGCACTGAGTACAAAGAATATTTATCAAAGAGTTTTGGTAACACAGGTGCGTAAACTAGAGCAAATTTTCTTTTCGAGAATTAAATTTTTTTGTTTTTTTTTTGAATTTTATTGAAAAAAACCAAACTTTAATTTAATCAGTACGAAAACGATAGAGCTCCGGGAGAGTGGTAAAACGGTTAGAACAACAACGAAATACGATTCTTTTTCAGCTTTTCAAAGCATTGGCGGCCGGTTATTTTATATGGAAGTGAAAGAATTTTTTTGAAATTTAAATAAACTCGTAAATTTTATCATTTATTATTTGGATTTAGTAAAGCGTAACATTTTGTAAGCGTAAATACCTAAACAATATATAGCGGAATAAAATTCTATATTAATAAAAACAACAACAAAAGAGTGCAATATTTATCTCAGGGTTATTAGGTTAAACCCCCACCCTGTTTAATAGTTAAACTTTAATTAATTAAGCTTTTACAAAGCGCTAACAAAATGCATAACGGTGGTTTTGGTTACAATCCTGCGGGTTATGTGAAAAATTTCAATTGTCTACGTAACTGGTGTTTTTGGGCGGGCGGTTTTGGTTTGGTAAGTTGTTAAATACTTTTGTGTTATTTTAATGATCCTCATCTATTTGTGAATCTTATCTATCTTATCTTATACATATATACATATGCATGTAATACATATTGATTAAAATACAATGATATAATAACTACAATTGAATAAAAAAAAAAAAGAAAACAAATTAATCGTTGTGAATTTGTATTCTTTTAAAAGCTAAAAACGTTCAATCAGTGTGATTCACTTTTTTTTTTTAATTAGATAGAACAGAAATATGACTAAAAACAATTGTGTAAACATTGTCTTAAAATTGTAGAGAAGACTGGAACTAACTACTCCTGAAAGAGGGTTTGGTGATCGGAAAATGTACAACCGCTACAGTTTTTTGTTTTATGAACAAACTCCGATTAATAATCAGTTTAGTAAATCTAAAAATAAACTTAATCGAATGTTTATAATTTTTGCTATTTTTGAGTTTGTCAGTCAAAAAATAAGCCATTTCTTACCCCAACCACCGACACATATTGAACCAATCAAAATAATCAAGAAGTCGAAAACAACTTTCATAGATTAATTTTAATTCAATTGCTGATCTTTAAGAGCCAATTTTGTGGTTAACGATTAGCGATTAAATTAATCTTCGAATGTTGTTTTTGAATGCCTTTGTTTGCAGCTGCTTCGAAAGTATGAATTATTAAATGTCGTTTTATCTTTAACTCGAAAATCGCACTAACATGAAAACTGGCTTTTAAAGATTAAATTGGAATTGTCGTTCAATGTTCAGATACTCAGTCTACTGGACATATTTCATTAACATTCTTTCTAGTTCAGTTCTAGTTCAGTTCTAGTTCAGTTCTAGTTCAGTTCTAGTTCAGTTCTAGTTCAGTTCTAGTTCAGTTCTAGTTCAGTTCTAGTTCAGTTCTAGTTCAGTTCTAGTTCAGTTCTAGTTCAGTTCTAGTTCAGTTCTAGTTCAGTTCTAGTTCAGTTCTAGTTCAGTTCTAGTTCAGTTCTAGTTCAGTTCTCTAGTTCAGTTCTAGTTCAGTTCTAGTTCAGTTCTAGTTCAGTTCTAGTTCAGTTCTAGTTCAGTTCTAGTTCAGTTCTAGGTCTAGTTCAGTTCTAGTTCAGTTCTAGTTCAGTTCTAGTTCAGTTCTAGTTCAGTTCTAGTTCAGTTCTAGTAGTTTCAGTTCTAGTTCAGTTCTAGTTCAGTTCTAGTTCAGTTCTAGTTCAGTTCTAGTTCAGTTCTAGTTCAGTTCTAGTTCAGTTTCTTAGTTCAGTTCTAGTTCAGTTCTAGTTCAGTTCTAGTTCAGTTCTAGTTCAGTTCTAGGTCAGTTCTAGTTCAGTTCTTAGTTCAGTTCTAGTTAAGTTCTAGTTCAGTTGTAGTTCAGTTCTAGTTTAGTTCTAGTTCAGTTCTAATTCAGTTCTAGTTCAGTTCTGAAAAATCCGCCTGAAGATTAGAGTCGCTCGTCTGTAAGTGCCGCCTCGTATCTTACATGCATTGATTTCGACGTTGTACTGCGCTGTCATTACTTCGCAAAAATGGCGTTGTTTCAAACTTTTGAAACTGAAAAGTGCAACTTTAATGGAGGACACGATATCTTGAAAGTTTACTCTGTTTAAAATGTTGTTCTTCAAAGAATTAAGTTTCGAATTATTCTTTAAATTATATTTATCGACTGGAAGTATTTGAATGATTCGCCAAATATTGAACCTATTGTATCGATTTTTGTTTTATCGTTTTCAATAGATAAAGACTAATATATTGACTAGTCAATGTTCTAGTTTATACACTATGGACTAGTTTGCGCTAAAGTTCATTTTATTCAAGATTTCCGTCGTTTGAGTTTACATTTATAATTTGTTCTCACAAATACGTTTATTTTCTTTCTAACAGGTCCAGTCCTTAATATGGATCGGTTTAACATTAACCGGCATTTTATCATATAGCTGTATCATTAGTATTGAGGGCACCTTTAACTATGGCAGTCTGTTTCGAGTGGTATTTCTAGAGCTATACTTTATGGGTACCTGTGCCAATAATATACCTCCATACAATAATGATATGCTAAGGGAAGTTAAAACCGTATTAAATCCACAAGATATAGTTATATGGGATAGTGTATATCTAGCAGTAGCAGTATGTTGGCTTTTGGCCTCAGTGCTATTAATGACATGTAAGTATTTTCATAAGTTAAGAAAGAAGTTAATTCATTATTAAATATTTCTTATTTCCAGATCTCAAACAAGATCAACCTAGAGTGGTTAGCGGCGTTTTATGGACCTGGGTTTTGGTAACATTCTGCATTTGTGCTATGGATTTAGCTTTGGGTATTATTTTCGGCATTGACTATGGTCGTTTCAATCGCAAAGCCTACGATTATAATTTAAGCAGCGTTAATGCTGGTGCTATTAATCCAGATGCTGCACAATTATTGGCCGGTATGGTGGCCTCTATGTCTATGTTGATCTTATCGTTTAAGGGTTTCGTTTTATGGATTGTAAATGTTTGTTTTATGATTTATTTGGCTGTGCGTGCCTTATGGATTGGTCACGATAACAATGGAGCGGTGAGTATGAATACTTTTTGAATATTTATGGAGGTTTAAAGGAACTAGTGATATCATATTTTGATATCACTTCTTTGTTTATATTTTTTGGTTAATGATATCATTTATTTATTTTAAATAGTAATAAAAATATTTTTTAAAGAATTTATGAAAAATTCAAAAATACACAAATATGTTTATAGATAAGAGAATTAACTAATAGACACCAAACATAGACTATAAATTAGAGAGCTTTTAAAAAGTTCTGGTGATCTCAGAATAAATACATATCCCTATTAAAGCGACTGGGCCAGCTCTATATAAAGACCTGTAATAGGCCAGAACTGCACATATCCCTTCTTGCAATCTAAAATTGTTTTATCTATAATACTGAGGAAATCTTTTTACTGGCGAGATAACATTTCTTAAGGCTAATTAACTCCAACATTAACCGCTTTAGCAACTTAATAAAAATTTTATTTTAAAAATTTTAATTTTACCCATAAATATATAAAACCTCAATCGAAATAAATTCTGATAACTCTAGTAGAAATAGATAAACATAAATATTTTCTAACTCCGTCATAATTATTACACTATAACCCTGATAATAATTGAGTTAGTTGTGAATAAAAATAAATTAATAAGTAATACCGGATACAAACAATGAAATATTGTAAAGGAATTCGATTTAGTCATATTTTTATTTAAAATATATATTTAATTTAAAATATAAAATATATATTTAAAAAATACGTATTTGTTTACCACTTGACTTTAAGAATTGTCTTCAGTTCTTTTGTTTTTCGAAATCATTATTATTAAATTTTTTTATCTAGTCAATGACAAAAAAATATATAACTGATGATTAATTTTAAGGTACTTTTTTTTTTGCTCACTTGATTCTTTAAACTCTATTGTTAAGTATATCTATCGAATATTTCGTATTTCTACGTAAATTGGACTTGGTTGCTTAAATTTTTTGATAAGAAAAGTTTGTTTGTGTATTTGAATTATTACCACGATGTTTTTGGAACCATTAATCAGTTAATATCAATAAAATATTTTAGGAATAATTTTATTTTATTAATTTTTCTTTTGCTGGCGGGTGTAGAAAATTGATAAGAAATACTATATACAGAAATTTTGCGTATGTATGTTGTTGGTCAAAGTCATAATGATTAAAATCCAAAAATTAATGAAATCTAAATTAAAATCTATTTATATAATTAGTTTTTTGTTAGTTTGTCTATGTTTTAGGTTTGTTGTTGGCGTCGGTTCTAATGTACTATTATGTTGAGAATTTTCTGATACGATTTGTTAAAGTTGAGTCCACCCATAATTTGGCAGGTCAGAAATCATAAGAGTCTAATGTTCTTAGAAAGTGCAGTCTCATTATGATAATGAAATTAATAAGCAATACATTTTAAGTACTTTTTCTAGTTTAAAGTTTTTTGCAAAAACCAAGATAGATAGATAGATTAGATAGATAGATAGATAGATAGATAGATAGGATAGATAGATAGATAGATAGATGATAGATAGATAGATAGATAGAAGATAGATAGATAGATAGATAGATAGATAGATAGATAGATAGATAGATAGATAGATAGATTGATAGATAGATAGATAGAGATAGATAGATAGATAGATAGATAGATAGATAGATAGATAGATAGATAGATAGATAGATAGATAGATAGATAGATAGATAGATAGATAGATAGATAGATAGATAGATAGATAGATAGATAGATAGATAGATAGATAGATAGATAGATAGATAGATAGATAGATAGATAGATAGATAGATAGATAGATAGATAGATAGATAGATAGATAGATAGATAGATAGATAGATAGATAGATAGATAGATAGATAGATAGATAGATAGATAGATAGATAGATAGATAGATAGATAGTAGAGATAGATAGATAGATAGATAGATAGATAGAGATAGATAGATAGATAGATAGATAGATAGATAGATAGATAGATAGATAGATAGATATAGATAGATAGATAGATAGATAGATAGATAGATAGATAGATAGATAGATAGATAGATAGATAGATAGATAGATAGATAGATAGATAGATAGATAGATAGATAGATAGATAGATAGATAGATAGATAGATATATAGATAGATAGATAGATAGAGATAGATAGATAGATAGATAGATAGATAGATAGATAGATAGATAGATAGATAGATAGATAGTAGATAGATAGATAGATAGATGATAGATAGATAGATAGATAAGATAGATAGATAGATAGAATAGATAGATAGATAGATAGATAGATAGATAGATAGATAGATAGATAGATAGATAGATAGATAGATAGATAGATAGATAGATAGATAGATAGATAGATAGATAGATATATGATAATAAATATATAGATATATAGATAGATAGATAGATAGATAGATAGATAGATAGATAGATAGATAGATAGATAGATAGATAGATAGAGATAGATAGATATAGATAGATAGATAGATAGATAGAGATAGATAGATAGATAGATAGATAGATAGATAGATAGATAGATGATAGCTAGTAAGACTTTCGATAGTTGATGCTGTGAGAGATTGATAGATAGTAGTAGATTGATAGTCGATAGATGATGATAGATAGTAGATGATGATCGCTGCTAGATAGATAGATAGGATCATGATAGCTGATAGTTCGATAGATAGATCTGATAGATAGTGTCGATAGTGATAGATAGATAGTGCTCGATAGAGGATAGTAGATAGATAGGCTAGATAGATAGATAGTAGATGATAGATAGGTAGATGGATGTAGATAGACGCTAGCTAGTATAGATAGATCGATGGATCGTGTTTTCGTGAGTAGTTATCTGGAGGATGTGTTCAACAATCGTCTTTGGTATGTTACGAAAGTCGACTTTTCTCGTAAAACAATCTCTAATTTTGTAACTAGGGGTTCTATAAATCGACGGTCGAATAAGCGAAAACAAAGTCGGAAAAAGTCGAAGTCGACTATTTTGTTCAAAAAGTCGATAACTCGACTATCGTCTGTGAAAAAAGTCGAAAAGTCGACTTTGTTAATAAAAGTCGAAAAGTCTGAAAGTCGAAAAGGCGAATAAAGTCGAAAAAAGTCAAAAAGTCGAAAAAAGTCAAAAATTGTCGAATATTTTAAAAAAGTGGAAAAAAGTCAAAAACTCTAAAATAGTCGGAAAAACTCGAAAAAAGTAAAAAAATAGTCGAAAAAAATCGAAAAGTCGGAAAAAGTCTGGTTACAAATTGTAACCAGAACTACGTCCGCCCGTAAAAAAAAATCTTAGCTATGTCCATCCATAAGAATTTTTGTTAAAATTATTCGGACTTTATTCCTCTTTTATTTATAAAATTGATTATTCGATTTTTAAATAAACTTTTCAAAAAATATAGTAGGGCAAGAAATCGATTCTTCGAAAGTCACTTTAAGGTCCCTAGTTGCAACATTTTGGTATAAAATCTCGTTCAAAATATCCCTGAATAGTTCCAGTGGAGTGTGGTAGTAAGATCTAAACCCGTTTTAAAAAGGACAAAAATTTACTGCGTATTTAAAACTTCTTAATCCAAATTCTATGCTATAGTAAAATAGGTATATTCAGAACTATCAACAACTAAATAAATAAATAATTAAATTTATAAATTCGCCATAACATGTGATGCTAAAAGTCCACTACAGCAATAATATACAGAAAAATAAAATAGACATGGAGAGACAACCTTTGATCATTAAAACGTGAAAAAAATTATTTTAAACATTTTTTGGAATTATCAATTTAAAGATGATGTTGGACCACAACGGATGATTTAAAGGAAATAACACTTAACAAAATAATTTAAACATTAAAAAAAAAGAAATTTTAAAATATTAATGTTTTACTTTCAGAACAACCTATTTATGCCACGCAAGGAATCCGATGATATATTGGCCACTAGACCACCAATTAATGCCTATCAGGAAGAAGAACAAAAGTGAGTTCAAGAAAGTATTTTCCAAAAAGCTCTTTATTAACTTGTAAATAAAAATATTTTTATTTTTTTAGACCCAGTGTCTTGTCTACAGTCTTTGCCAACGAAGGCTTTGAACCGGACAATAATACCGTCGAAAATGTCAATGTTATCAATCGTGATATAATTGCTCGTGCTGCACGCCTTTCAACCGATGTTCAATTACATGAAAGACGTTTCCGTAATTTAGATAATTTCCAACAATATCCACCACGCTCCAGGCCCGAATCTATGATGCCTGTACAGGAGCAACCACAACAGCCAAACTCACCCATGGTAGTGGCCGCTTTCCCAGCACCCGACTATACGCCACCCATGCAAAGGGCCGCTCAAAATCCAAATCGTAATCAAAGATATCAATAGTTTGAATAGCTAGAGGTTAATTCTTCTAAGTGTATGAGCGTTTTTTTTTTTCTTTTTTTAATATTTAATTATTTCTTTTAATTTTATTGTTGCTTTTTAAACAAAAAATAAATAATAATAAAAAAAAACAATTGTTAAAATACTGTATAAATTAAGAAAAAAAAAAAAACGATGATGATTTTGTGTCACTAGACAGTGATAACATTAGCACTTGAAAGATGATTATTTTATATACGATCCCATAGCCATGTTTTGGACCCCAGCAGAGAGCGATTTTTTTTGCATGATGTTGTTATTATTTTTTGGTTTTTATAGGAAAATGATAACGAAAAACGAGCATTCGTTAAAACACTAAGTTGATGTTTCAGCATTTTATTTTGCACATAACGGGAAAATCGTTTCGTAAAAATAAACTTTTTTTATAGAAATTTCTTATTATTATTATTATTGAATTTAATAATATTTATTTTATTATTAAATTAATGTGTTCGTTATAGATTCGCAATAGATTAATACATATCACAAATATTTTTATTTGCGTAAATACATATGTACATATGTAATTAATTATTTATTTGTTTATTTTTCAACGGAGTTTTCCATTGTAAATATTGAAATAATGTTTGTATAGAGAGGTGGACAAAATTAAACATATTTGTTAAAAAAATTACGGTAAAATGATTTATAGTGTATGTAGTTATTGGATACCTTTCCTGAAGTGCAAGTTAAACCAAGGGCACTGATAAATTTAGTATAGCAAATTGTAAACATTTGAAAACAAAAGATCGATCCTTCGTTGAAAACAAACTAACTTCGTAAGTTTGTTAGTTAGGTAGTTAGTTAGGTTAGTTAGTTAGTAGTTAGTTAGTTAGTTAGTTAGTAGTAAGTAGTTAGTTAGTTAGTTAGTTAGTTAGTTAGTTAGTTAGTTAGTTAGTTAGTTCGTTCAGTTTAGTTAGTTAGTTAGTGTAGTTAGTTAGTGTAGTTAGTTAGTTAGTTAGTTTTAGTTAGTAGTAGTTAGTTAGTTAGGAGTTAGTTAGTTAGTAGTTAGTTAGTTAGTTAGTTAGTTAGTAGTTAGTTAGTTAGTTAGTTAGTTAGTAGTTAGTAGTAGTTAGTTAGTTAGTTAGTTAGTTAGTAGTTAGTTAGTAGTTAGTTAGTTAGTAGTAGTTAGTTAGTTAGTTAGTTAGTTAGTTAGTTAGTTAGTTAGTTAGTTAGTTAGTTAGTTAGTTAGTTAGTTAGTAGTTAGTTAGTTAGTTAGTTAGTTAGTTAGTTAGTTAGTTAGTTAGTTAGTTAGTTAGTTAGTTAGTTAGTTAGTTAGTAGTTAGTTAGTTAGTTAGTTAGTTAGTTAGTTAGTTAGTTAGTTAGTTTAGTAGTTAGTTAGTTAGTAGTTAGTTAGTTAGTAGTTAGTAGTTAGTTAGTAGTTAGTAGTTAGTTAGTTAGTTAGTTAGTTAGTAGTTAGTAGTTAGTTAGTTAGTAGTTAGTAGTTAGTAGTTAGTTAGTAGTTAGTTAGTTAGTTAGTTAGTTAGTTAGTTAGTTAGTTAGTTAGTTAGTTAGTTAGTAGTTAGTTAGTTAGTTAGTTAGTTAGTAGTTAGTTAGTTAGTTAGTTAGTTAGTTAGTTAGTTAGTTAGTTAGTTAGTTAGTTAGTTAGTTAGTTAGTTAGTTAGTTAGTTAGTTAGTTAGTTAGTTAGTTAGTTAGTTAGTTAGTTAGTTAGTTAGTTAGTTAGTTAGTTAGTTAGTTAGTTAGTTAGTTAGTTAGTTAGTAGTTAGTTAGTTAGTTAGTAGTTAGTTAGTTAGTTAGTTAGTAGTTAGTTAGTTAGTTAGTTAGTTAGTTAGTTAGTTAGTTAGTTAGTTAGTTAGTTAGTTAGTAGTTAGTTAGTTAGTTAGTTAGTTAGTTAGTTAGTTAGTTAGTTAGTTAGTTAGTAGTTAGTTAGTTAGTTAGTTAGTTAGTTAGTTAGTTAGTTAGTTAGTTAGTTAGTTAGTTAGTTAGTTAGTTAGTTAGTTAGTTAGTTAGTAGTTAGTTAGTTAGTTAGTTAGTTAGTTAGTTAGTTAGTAGTTAGTAGTTAGTTAGTTAGTTAGTTAGTTAGTTAGTTAGTTAGTAGTAGTTAGTAGTTAGTTAGTTAGTTAGTTAGTTAGTTAGTAGTTAGTTAGTTAGTTAGTTAGTTAGTTAGTTAGTTAGTAGTAGTTAGTTAGTAGTTAGTTAGTTAGTTAGTTAGTTAGTTAGTTAGTAGTTTAGTTAGTTAGTTAGTTAGTTAGTTAGTAGTTAGTTAGTTAGTTAGTTAGTTAGTTAGTTAGTTAGTTAGTTAGTTAGTTAGTTAGTTAGTTAGTTAGTTAGTTAGTTAGTTAGTTAGTTAGTTAGTTAGTAGTTAGTTAGTTAGTTAGTTAGTTAGTTAGTTAGTTAGTAGTTAGTTAGTTAGTTAGTTAGTTAGTTAGTTAGTTAGTTAGTTAGTTAGTTAGTTAGTTAGTTAGTTAGTTAGTAGTTAGTTAGTTAGTTAGTTAGTTAGTTAGTTAGTTAGTTAGTTAGTTAGTTAGTTAGTTAGTTAGTTAGTTAGTTAGTTAGTTAGTTAGTTAGTTAGTTAGTTAGTTAGTTAGTTAGTTAGTTAGTTAGTTAGTTAGTTAGTTAGTTAGTTAGTTAGTTAGTTAGTTAGTTAGTTAGTTAGTTAGTTAGTTAGTTAGTTAGTTAGTTAGTTAGTTAGTTAGTTAGTTAGTTAGTTAGTTAGTTAGTTAGTTAGTTAGTTAGTTAGTTAGTTAGTTAGTTAGTTAGTTAGTTAGTTAGTTAGTTAGTTAGTTAGTTAGTTAGTTAGTTAGTTAGTAGTTAGTTAGTTAGTTAGTTAGTTAGTTAGTTAGTTAGTTAGTTAGTTAGTTAGTTAGTTAGTTAGTTAGTTAGTTAGTTAGTTAGTTAGTTAGTTAGTTAGTTAGTTAGTTAGTTAGTTAGTTAGTTAGTTAGTTAGTTAGTTAGTTAGTTAGTTAGTTAGTTAGTTAGTTAGTTAGTTAGTTAGTTAGTTAGTTAGTTAGTTAGTTAGTTAGTTAGTTAGTTAGTTAGTTAGTAGTTAGTTAGTTAGTTAGTTAGTTAGTTAGTTAGTTAGTTAGTTAGTTAGTTAGTTAGTTAGTTAGTAGTTAGTTAGTTAGTTAGTTAGTTAGTTAGTAGTTAGTTAGTTAGTTAGTTAGTTAGTTAGTTAGTTAGTTAGTTAGTTAGTTAGTTAGTTAGTTAGTTAGTAGTTAGTTAGTTAGTTAGTTAGTTAGTTAGTAGTTAGTTAGTAGTTAGTTAGTTAGTTGTAGTTAGTTAGTTAGTTAGTTAGTTAGTTAGTTAGTTAGTTAGTTAGTTAGTTAGTTAGTTAGTTAGTTAGTTAGTTAGTTAGTTAGTTAGTTAATTAGTTAGTTAGTTAGTTAGTTAGTTAGTAGTTAGTTAGTTAGTTAGTTAGTTAGTTAGTTAGTTAGTTAGTTAGTTCGTGGGTTCATTCAATGAAAGTTCGTCTCCTGGAAAGCCGAATTTAAAACTCTTTTTCAATCGAGTAAAAGAACTTTGTAATATTTCGGTTTACACCTTTTGTTAATCTTAAAAATAAACGATTTCCTTGCAGAAATTTTTTCTCCGAAAGCTTTTTTGCCTTAAATGACATTTATCTTACCTTTTAACATAACAACATCAGCCATATGTTTTTGACACTTGATAAAAAAATACATAACCAATTATCAAATAACCATTAATCGTTGTATATTTTTATATAGAAAAAAACTTTAAAAGCCAAAAATTATAAAATATTAAACAATTTTCAGCAAAAAAACTTTGATTTGAATTACCGCATGTTTCAATATTTTCCCGATAACCCCAGACGCCTAGAGATCAACACAAAATTCGTAAAAAATATTGATAACAGACCCTTAAATATAAAAAACGACTACCCCGTGGCTAAGTGACCAAGAAAAGCATCATTTGTGTTTCAAACGTAGACGGGAGAGTGCGTCAACAGTGGAAATTAGTTTAATTAAAAAAAATAAATCCTAAATAAAATATTCAACAAAATGGTTTCAGTTATTAAATTTGCTCGTGTTTTGCAACAAAGTGCCTGCTTATTGAAACAAGCCCCCAAAACTGTACAAAATTTCAGACAATTCAGTTTAAGTACAATTTATAATGCAGGTAAGTCTAAGAAAAATATAAAAGTGCAATCTAAAAATTCTTATTTTACGCAATAAGTGTCTTAAAAAAGAAAAAGAAACAACAAAAAAATGCCGCAAAATCTACAGCTGTTTAAAGCAAAGCACTTCAAACTGTTTTAATTACCAATGTGATGCCATATTTGTAATAATAAAAAAATCGCTTATTTTATAGAACGTCGTTTTACCGAAAAACACGAATGGGTGTCCTTCGAGGGAACCTCTGGCACCGTAGGCATTTCCACTTATGCCCAAGAGGCTTTGGGTGATGTAGTATTTGCCCAATTACCCGATCCCGGAACAGTGCTAAAGCAACACGATGAATGTGGTGCTTTGGAAAGTGTTAAAGCTGCCAGTGAAGTGTACTCACCAGTCAGTGGAGAAGTAACAGAGAAAAACGCCGCCGTAGAAGATACTCCTTCCCTAATCAATACCAATTGTTATGATCAAGGTAAATTTAAATCTTAATTGATATTTCTCAAAAATAAAACTAATTGTTCTTCCTTTTCTTTAGGTTGGCTTTTCAAAATCAAGCTATCAAACACTGCTGAATTAGATAAACTAATGACAGAGGATCAGTATAACGAATTCCTTAAAAATGCCGATCATTAGTTAGTGTTGTTATTGGTTTTTGTTTTAATTTTTTTAAAAACTCATTTTCACAAGTTGCTTTTAAAGTTCAAAAGATTTAAAAAACTCACTCTCCCCCTCTTATGTGCTCAATGAGTATAGATTTACGTTATATAAGAATTAATACTGTTTTTTGCCTTTATTTTATAATATAAATACAAATTATTTTTAATGTACAATAAATTATAAAAAAAAACTACTTTATGAAGAAATATAGTTCATTTATATGAAAACATAAAGGATGATTTTTTGGAACAGTTGCACTTATTAACCACTAAATCTTGCTTCCCATATAACTCTTACAGAAAATCAGTTTATTATCAATAAATCTATCATAAAATTCAGCCAAAATAATTTAAGATTAAAAATTAAATCACTTTTTTAAATTAGGGAAATCTTATTCCGAAAATTCCTGCGAAGTTCATATAATATCGACAATATATGATAATTGAATTTAATAAATATGTAAATCGTTTTAGGAAATTACAAAAGGATCCAAACATAAAGATCTAAATCCAGTTATTAGACCACAATCCGGTAAATCACTTAAATTTTTCGTTATGTGATTTGTGGGCATTGTCAAATACATAACAACCACTTTTTATACATATGTAATACCCATAAACATTTTTCGTTAAAATTGCTTTTCTATAGGAAAAGTTCAAACAACGAGCATTCAGAGGAATTAAAGAAAAATCGCGTGGAGACAGTCTGCAAGTAAAAGAAGAAAAACCGATGGTAATATGCCTCTGGTGGACCCACACTCCATAGATCAAAAGTATTGCCAAAAATGGTGAATTAAGGAAAACTGTAGTGAATAAAAAATTAATTGCAATTTTTAGGTGAATAAAATTGTGGTAAATAAATAATAAATCCACCACAAATTCCGCTATGAAAAATTATTCGAGAAGGGTTTTATTTTCCATCCTAAAAGTATGCTGCTATTAGTGAAAATATCATTGTCAAGTTTAAAGCAGTGTTACCAAACTTGTAAACTATGATAGATAGATAGATAGATAGATAGATAGATAGATAGATAGATACATAGATAGATAGATAGATACATAGATAGATAGATAGATAGATAGATAGATAGATAGATAGATAGATAGATAGATAGATAGATAGATAGATAGATATATAGATAGATAGATAGATAGATAGATAGATAGATAGATAGATAGATAGATAGATAGATAGATAGATAGATAGATAGATAGATAGATAGATAGATAGATAGATAGATAGATAGATAGATAGATAGATAGATAGATAGATAGATAGATAGATAGATAGATAGATAGATAGATAGATAGATAGATAGATAGATAGATAGATAGATAGATAGATAGATAGATAGATAGATAGATAGATAGTAATAGATAGATAGATAGATAGATAGATAGATAGATAGATAGATAGATAGATAGATAGATAGATAGATAGATTGATAGATAGATAGATAGATAGATAGATAGATAGATAGATAGATAGATAGATAGATAGATAGATAGATAGCTAGATAGATAGATAGCTAGATATATAGATAGATAGATAGATAGATAGATAGATAGATAGATAGATAGATAGATAATAGATAGATAGATAGATAGATAGATAGATAGATAGATAGATAGATAGATAGATAGATAGATAGATAGATAGATAGATAGATAGATAGATAGATAGATAGATAGATAGATAGATAGATAGATAGATAGATAGATAGATAGATAGATAGATAGATAGATAGATAGATAGATAGATAGATAGATAGATAGATAGATAGATAGATAGATAGATAGATAGATAGATAGATAGATAGATAGATAGATAGATAGATAGATAGATAGATAGATAGATAGATAGATAGATAGATAGATAGATAGATAGATAGATAGATAGATAGATAGATAGATAGATAGATAGATAGATAGATAGATAGATAGATAGATAGATAGATAGATAGATAGATAGATAGATATATAGATAGATAGATAAGATAGATAGATAGATAGATAGATAGATAGATAGATAGATAGATAGATAGATAGATAGATAGATAGATAGATAGATAGATAGATAGATAGATAGATAGATAGATAGATAGATAGATAGATTTGGACTTGACATTTCTCCGCTTTGTCCTCTATGTGTCGAAAAAGATGAGAACGTGGAAAACGTTGCCCCTGATATAGTTCCGGAAGGAAAAACCTTCAGCAACTTTTGTAGAGTGTATATATATGATAACTAACCCCGGCAGTGAATTTAAAGTAAATTGCGCTGAATTTCTTTTACAATATCGAAAGCTATAAGTTTAAATAAGAAAATTACGAACAATTTCACTCGATCACGAGACAATTCTTATATTATAAAATAAATGCAAGATGCAAAAACTAATTTTGAAAATGACTAATTTTTTATTACTTTGCACAATGCAATTATTTGCTATTATTATGTTAATTATTTTCTATGCAAATATTTTCTTAAAGGATTTAAATTTAAATGACCATGACTAATGCAAACTAATAACATAAACAACTTAAGGGTTGCAAAATTTTACATACTCTTTAATAATGCGTAGGGTGTTGAGTACATTATACTCTTAATTTTATTTTACAAAATTACTCTTAAAATATAGCTTTACTCTTGACATTGAAATATTACTTTTGTTTTTGCAAAATTGTGCTCTTTTAAATATTGTATATTTCAGTTCTATAGCAAATTGAGTTGTATTCTTATCTGATTTTATGTGGACATATTTTTAAGCTTTTTTTTTGCCATTTGCACTAGGGTAGCAAGTAAAAATGAAGCTCTACAAATATGCAGATATTTGAACATTTTGAGTAACTCAGCAGAAAAATATACATTGAATAAAATAACACACCATATGAAATGATTTCGATTTGAGTTGAAAGTTGAGGTATAAACATTTTGTGCAAACAGAGACATTTAGTATGTGAGAGTTATTCAGTGGGTTGAGACGTTCTAAGAAAAAAACATAAATACATAGCTAAAAGTTATTAAAAGCTAGTAAAAACGTTAGAAACCTTTTAATTAATTTATTTGAATAAACAAAAACTGTTACAAATTTAATACAAAAAAATACAAATTTTTGTTATGAACATTTAAATTTGTATTAAAAAAAATCCATTTAAAAAAAGGAAGTTTTAAAAAAACAAAAGAAAAATGCCTTCGGAAAAATCGATTTACAATCCAAATCCGGCCATTAGCCAAAATGCTTACATATCGAGCATGGAAGAATATAAAAAGTTCTATGAAGAATCTTTGGATAATCCCGAAGAATTCTGGTCTCGTGTGGCCAAACAATTTCACTGGGAAACACCAGCCGAACCAAAGAAATTTCTACAATACAATTTCGATATTACGAAAGGACCCATTTCTATTAAATGGATGGAAGGAGCCTCTACAAATATTTGCTACAATCTATTAGATCGTAATATACGCAATGGTTTAGGAGATACTATAGCCTATTATTGGTAAGTTTTATTTTTTCCCCGTTTTTTTTCAGATATAAATCTAAATTACTGTTCAAAAAAAAAAAAAATAAAAATAAGAAAAATTTCAATGACGCAGTTTTTGTACTCGTGTACGTGTTCTGGTTCGAAAAAGGACATGCTTCTCTTTAAGTATTATTGATTTTTTTACTGCTCTTGTTATTAGTAAGAAAATTTTTTGTAGCAGTAGCTATAGTATATGGAATACAAAAGAAGACTTCTTGAGTTACGAAATCAAATGTTTAAGTTTACTTATAGTATAAAGTGTAAATACGTAGTATGCAGTTTTTTTCTTTCTTCTTACGGTTAAACCCTTAACGCTAAAAAAAAATAACAACAAAAACACATGTTCCTTGGCAGTTGACAAATGACAAGATATGTAGATGGAAATAGAGCAATTGACGTTAGTAGGTGAATTTGTAAGGCGCTATTTGAAAACTTAATGGGGAGGTGGGCGTTACAATGATTATTGAAAGTGTAATGTAATAATGTTGATTTTAAAGGACAAAATTTTAAAAAATGTTTTAAAACAACATTTTTGCCTCATAGTAAACTGCTGTTGCAAATATTGCAAACGTAGCAGTTATAAACATATTTTAAAGGAGGAAAAAGTTATATTTTTTAAAAATTTTAAAGAATTATTAACATTGCAAAAATCTATATATCCTTATATCCTTAGGACATTACAGAAATTTCCTTTTTAAATTAAACTTCTCTTGCAAGTCTTGCAATTCTAGTTAAAATACTACACTTTCCAATGTCACAACGTTATATAAAACTATAGGTTTTGAAATCTATTCCAAGGACGAAAAATTTGTACATGTAAAAACTTAAAATAAGTTAATTCTTTTATATTAAACTGCTCTTGCAAATATAGTAAAAATATTACAGTTTCCAAGACAACATTTTTCGAAAGATTCGATTTTGATATTTATTTAAAGGAATAACGAATTATATCCTTTAAAACTTTGAAACAAAGAAACAATTAAGATTTTTATTCGATAAACTATACTACTCTTGCAGGTATTGTAAACGTAGCAGTTTTACACTTTTCTTAAAGGACAATTAGAAAGTTATGAAATATAATTGGAAACGGTGTAGTCTATAGATTAGATTATAGATAGACTATAGAATAGACTAAACTAAACTACAGACTAGACTATAGACTAGACTATAGACTAGACTATAGACTAGACTATAGACTAGACTATAGACTAGACTATAGACTAGACTATAGACTAGACTATAGACTAGACTATAGACTAGACTATAGACTAGACTATAGACTAGACTATAGACTAGACTATAGACTAGACTATAGACTAGACTATAGACTAGACTATAGACTAGACTATAGACTAGACTATAGACTAGACTAGACTATAGACTATAGACTAGACTATAGACTAGACTATAGACTAGACTATAGACTAGACTATAGACTAGACTATAGACTAGACTATAGACTAGACTATAGACTAGACTATAGACTAGACTATAGACTAGACTATAGACTAGACTATAGACTAGACTATAGACTAGACTATAGACTAGACTATAGACTAGACTATAGACTAGACTATAGACTAGACTATAGACTAGACTATAGACTAGACTATAGACTAGACTATAGACTAGACTATAGACTAGACTATAGACTAGACTATAGACTAGACTATAGACTAGACTATAGACTAGACTATAGACTAGACTATAGACTAGACTATAGACTAGACTATAGACTAGACTATAGACTAGACTATAGACTAGACTATAGACTAGACTATAGACTAGACTATAGACTAGACTATAGACTAGACTATAGACTAGACTATAGACTAGACTATAGACTAGACTATAGACTAGACTATAGACTAGACTATAGACTAGACTATAAACTAGACTATAGACTAGACTATAGACTAGACTATAGACTAGACTATAGACTAGACTATAGACTAGACTATAGACTAGACTATAGACTAGACTATAGACTAGACTATAGACTAGACTATAGACTAGACTATAGACTAGACTGTAGACTAGACTATAGACTAGACTGTAGACTAGACTATAGACTAGACTGTAGACTAGACTATAGACTAGACTATAGACTAGACTATAGACTAGACTATAGACTAGACTAAAAAAACCTCCAAAAATAACTAAATTTCATAGTGGGCAAGGTTGTGTATAGTAGAAAGTAAAGGATGATTTTTGAAGGGTCTTTTCAAGACCTGCGCACTAATAAAATATTGAATATTTCAGAAAGAAAGAAATAATATAACAAAAAATAATAGAGAAAAAATAAAATACAGGAACTGAAACAAATCAAGATTTACATTTATAGTGGATTTTTTTGTTTATTTGGTCAGAAATAAATGTATTTTAATTATGTATTGAAAAGATCATTGACTTTGTATTAAAGAAAATTTCGTATTTTCAAAGAAATCTAAAGTAAAAGAAAGAATAAAGAAAAGCGAAACGTTATAAAACAAGGAAGTCTTTTTTTTAATTTGTTTTAAAAACTTAAATATTAAATAATATTTAAAAATTAATTCATTTTAATTACTTTAATAAACAAATTTAAAACAATACTAGGTCATGATGTCAATGTTTTTTTGGTCTGTTAACGGAGTTTAAATTCAGTTAGGTTGTTAACTGGTCTGTTAAGATCTTATGAAATTTATGTATTTTATAAAACCTAAACCAGTTTGAATGCATTTTAGAAGTTTTTAAAGCCACAAAAGACCATGACTTTGAATTTTTTTGAGTTTTATTTGGTTTTATGTCTGCTGAGGCAAAGTTTAGTTTTTATAATTAAAATATATTTATTGATTTATGCATAAACATATTTGAATTTAATAATAAGCAGACTCTATTTTATAATTGTGCAATATTATTGTTTATTTATTCACTACAAAGTTCAAATGGAAATTTTAATTTAAAATATATATTTTTGTTACAAATAACTACCTAAATAAACAAAGAATGTTATGCTAAATAAAAAAAATATTATTTAATATTTTTAAAGTTTTTTTTTTTGACGACAGAAATATTTATGCAAATTTTATAAACAAATGCGCTATTTTTTTATTGTTAAACCATTACCTGGCATTATTTCTTTCTGTTTGCATATTTAGTACTTATTTGCTATGGAAAGTACGTACTTGAACCCCGTGTTAATAGAATTTATAACAAAATTTTTGCAGTGCTTTGCTGGAAGTTATTTGTTTTTAGGGAAATTGGATTTAAACAAAAATAAAGCTTTATGAAAAGTAAAAAGTACTTTTCTTTGTTGGGTATAGTTTAAAAAAAGTACCTTTATTGTTTTAAATATAATAAAAGTAACTTTTTTGCTTTACATTAGTAAGCAGCCTAAAGAGAATATTACGCAATATCTTCTTGAAAAGAGCAGGGTCCGAATAACCACATATGTACGTAATCGAATAAGCTTTAGTATCGAAAACTTTTCAATATCGAAATTAGGCTAAAATGTACTAGATTACGATTAATTTTACTCGAATAGGTATGCGTTAATACGGCCCAGCCATTAATCTAGTCTATTGAGAGTTTCAAAGCTTTTGATTAATCTAACCAAGCTTTTATTTCAATCTGTCTTTTACTTTTTGCATCGTTACTCGATCAAAGAGCTTTTTCATGAACTGTCTTGCTTTCACACATACATCGGATTAAGAATATCTACGATAAAATATCGGCAGAAAGTGACAAATGAGCTTTCTAGAGGAAGCTCTTTGTTAATAGCAGGACTTTGAATTGCTTTTATATTTAACCTCAAAACGTGTAATGCTTCAATCTGCATCGGTTTGCTGGACCTACATTTTAAGATTCAAAATTATAGTAGAATCATTAAAACAATATTATAGTTAAGGACATAGACTAATACATATATACTTTTCCCAAGAAATCTGACCCCATATATGGGACGTTATAACATAGCGAAGACATCTTTGTCTTTAAATTATGTTGGGTCAGCTAAAAGCCCAATCTGTTAACTTAACACTAATATATCTTTTCTTCGAGATAACTTAACATTATGCAGCTCAATATCTTTTAAGTTCCGAAATTATAATAGAATCATATATGATGAATAATGACACACACCCAATATATACTTTTTCCAAAAGAATCTGGCCCCCAGAATCAGGTTTTCGAGATAATTTTTCATTTTGAAAACCCATCGTTTTAGGCTATATTTGGAACCTTTTATAAGAGCAAAGACATCTTTATTTTTAAATTCTGTTATGTCATCTTAGAGTCCAATCTTCAATGCTCTTAAAACGCCACATATAGAATTGATAAATAATATATTGCGCTTTAACTTTAAAAGTTTAGATTATTTCAAAAAAATTTATTTTAGCTAAATTTTGGCTCGTGCCACATATTTAAAAGTGAAAGGTCCTCTGATGTGATTAAGATGCCGTTACTTTCTTATCAAAAACTGAAATTATTTTTATTTTTTGACTTTTTGTTTTAAAATATCATCATTGCAAATTAAGATTTTAAATTAAATTTATTTTGATTTTTATTTTAAAATATCATCATTATAAATTAAGATTTAAATTAAATTAATTGCAAGAAACTTTCCTAAATTTTTGTTTCAAATGTTTATGATTAAATAAATTACACAGCCCAACAAAATTTCAAAACTCAGGGAAAGTTGCGCTGAATCTGGTCTCTGAATTTCTCAATCATATATGTATGTAAGTTCTCATCACAAATCAAAGTTTAAATCGGTTGAAGTAAAAAGCAGAATTTGGGTTAAACTTAAAATGAAAATGCCAGTCAGCATTAAGTTTGCTTTGTGTTGGTGTGAAACGCCTGATTTATATTCGTACCCTTAGAAAATATTTGGTTTTCATTGATTTAAATCATTTGGCATAAATTTATTCTTCAGGTGTTATAAAAATTCAATAATATTTTCCAAATAAAAACAACCTAAATCGTTTTAATTGTTTATT